GATTTCGCCCGCCTCCCACCCTTGCCCTGGCTCTGCGGGTGCTGTCAGGCTCCCTTCGGCTTTGCAATCGGCAACCTCATCGACCTCATCCTCTTCCTCGACCTCCTCGACCTCCTCCTCGACCTCGCGGCCTCCTTCTCGTCATCGGCCTCCTCCTCCTCCTCATCTTCCTCCTCCTCCTCGACCTCCCTGGCGCTGGGCATTGACGGCATTGAAGTCCCTCTGGACGTTGCCTCTTCTCCTCCTCCTCCTCCTCCTCCTCCTCCTCCTCCTCCTCCTCCTTTTCCTCCTCCTCCCCCCTTCTCCTCTTCCTCCTTTTCCTCCTCTTCCTTTCATTCCTTGTCCGTCCTCCTTCTCATCCTTCCTCTTTCCTATTTTCTCCTCGATCATCTCTCCTCCGTCCTCCTTCCTCCTTCCTCCTTCCTCCTCCTTTTCTCATGTTATTCCTCCTCATCCTCCTTCCTCATCTCTCATCCCTCTCCCTTCCTCCTCTATCCTCTCCGCTTCTCTCAGCCCCCATCCTTTGTGCCTTCGCGCGCGGACACCCTCAACATTCCCACTGTCTGACAGAGAGTAGCCTGAGCTCTGGCGAGGGCTTCGCCGACGTGCCGAGCTCGGCGCTCCGTCGCGACTCGCACCCACCCCCGCGATCAGGGCCGCATGCCGAGGCGGCGCCTCCCCTCCTCCTCCTCCTCCTCCTCCTCCTTCTCCTCCTCCTCCACCTCCACCTCCTCCCTCTCCTCGTCCTCCTCCTCCGTCCCTCCTCCTTCTCCTCCTCCTCCTCCTCCTTCTCGTCCTCCTCCTCCGTCCCTCTTCCTCCTCCTCCTCCTCCGCCTCCGCCTCCGCCTCCTCCTCCTCCTCCTCCTCCTCCTCCTCCTCCTCCTCCTCCTCCTCCTCCTCCTCCTCCTCCATTCCTTTTCCTCATACATAATTCCTCCCTGTCGCACCCCGAGGCTCGTTTTCAGGGCGGGCCGGGTGTTTCACCTGAGACTTCCTCACCATTATGCCCCTGAAGCTGGAACATTGGCACCAGTTTCACAAACGGAGGGCGTGTCGTGCTCAAAATGTGGCTCTCGTCTTAGCGCCGTGCGCAGTCTTTAATCCAATGCCAGAGCTTCACGGATTGAGGGCGACCCGTTTTCAAAATGCGGTTTTCGCTTTAGCGTCAGTTACATTCGTTTTACAAAGTTGCAAGAGCTTCACGGATTGAGGGCGGCTCCTTTTCAACATGTGGTTCTCGCCTAAGCGCCGCGCGCATTCGCTCTGAACATTTGCAAGAGTTTCACGGCTTCCCATGGTCAGCGTACCAGAAAGTGTATTTCGGAAGGGTTCAATATTTAAGGGTGCAACAGTTACGCTGATTTGCGGTGCTGAAGTCCCAGGAATGGCGTGCTGGCACGATTCAGGACCGTCAAGACGCAACAGTCAGGTTGATCCATGGCGTTATAATCCCGAGAACAATATTTGGCATGCTTCAGGGTCTTCAAACAGTTGTCTTCCAACGAGGCAGCTCCTTCAGTGGAATTGAACCGTTGTTGGGGGCCTATGAAGAGGGAGCTTGGAGGGAGGGTTCATTCCAACATCGTTGATGACTCTTGGGTTGACACTGGTCCTCCTCCTCCTCCTCCTCCTCCTCCTCCTCCTCCTCCTCTCCCTCCTACTCTCCCTCCTCCTCATCCTCCTCCTCCTCCTCCACGCCTCCTCCTCCGCATCCCCCTCCTCGCCTCCTCGTCTTAAGCACCTGCGGGCCGCTTTCTGTTCAGAAGGGGCTCTGGTTTTCGGGCCCCTCGGAGACCTAGGCCAGAGAACCTTGACGAGGCCGAGGACGGCAGCGGCCAGACAGCCCATTCGCTTCTGACTCGGTGCCCCTCCTGGTAGCTGCTAGCACGATGACTGGAAGCACAAATGTTCCGAGATCCGCGCATATTTTTCGGGTCGGCGCTCAACGCCGACCCGATAATTCCGAGAAGTCCGCGCGGCCCTCCGAAGTTTTCTGTGTATGCCGCTGTTTCAGTTTTTCCTTGGTTCGAAATCCCGTGGGTCTCGGTGCGTCACAAGTGCTTTGCGTGTTTCGAGATCCCCCGGGACCCTGAGATAAGAGCCCATCGGTTGGCATTTTGGGCGAAGCATTTTTCCAGATCCCGCCAGCCCCTGCCATCCGCACCCTTGGCCCTTGCTCCAGTCGCGCGCGGTCATGAGGCCCAGACTTTCAGCGCATCGAACGCAATCAGCTCGGAGGTGTTTCGCCGCTTTCTCGGCCCCTGTGGGCCCTCGCCGGACCTCGGGGCAGTGAGCAATTGCTCAGGAATGATAGTCGGCCCTGGGGAAAGGGCCAGGACTTCGAGGAACTCCGTGCAGTGAACGCCTAGGCAGAAAACGACTTCGGTCTTGGAAGCGGCTCGGAGTTCCTTGAGTCTTGCGTTGAGTTGTCCTGGTGAATCTTGGCGCCGCTGGGGCAAGAAAAGGGGCTCCGTTCCCTTACCCATGGTTCCTTGTAGCAGAACGTCGGCTGATTACACTTTTATGCAATCTCCTTCTCTATTCCGACATGCCTCTTGTCACTCATATACACACTCTGATGTAAGTAGGGAGGGGCTTCAGGCCATTCCCCCTCCAACTCCCTCGGGCTGGCCCGTCTGCCGGAGCCGTGTTGAGCTGACCCCCGACCAGCGGGGGCGGCCAAGAGGGGAGTGCTGATCAGAGGGTGGTGGATCTCCTGGGTGGGGGCCACGAGAGCCCTCCTGATCTCCTGGCCCCCTCTTCCGCCTTGCAGCACGCCCCCTGGCCCCTTCCCCGAGTCCGCACGCATGCCTCCGGCGATGATTTGCGAGCCCCTCGTCCTGGACGCCCGGCTCCTGCACGCGCACGAGATCGAGAGCTGGACGACGAGAGCACGTCGACGCAGCTCTTCGGCAGCATCGGGCTCACGTCGCGTCCGCCACGGGGCCCTCTGGAGCCAGACCGACTGCCGACGGTGTGCGTGCGGAAGAGTATAGGGTCGTCCTCCGAGGACGTCTCCTGTGACTGGGGCCTCCGAGGTCCCACAACCGTGGTGGGGGATTCCAAGGTCACCAGGCGGTCCGTCACCACACGGATTTGGGGCCCCGGAAACCGCGTTTCCCGAATTTCGGGAAACGCGGCTTCCCAGAATTCGAATTCCGAATCATGGGAAACTTAATTTTCTTTGAAAAACATATTTCGGTGGGCCGGAATTGCGTTTCCCATACTTCCGAATTATTGGAGGCGCAATTTTATTTGAAACACCGCACCCAATGGGCTGAAATTGCGTTCCCCATAAGCCGAATTCCGAATTTCGGGAAACGCGGCTTCCCAGAACTCTACTTCCGAATAATTGGAAACGCAATTTTCTGGGACAAAGCCGCACCCAATGGGCTGGAATTGCCTTTCCCATCATGTGCATTCCGAATTTCGGGAAACGCGGTTCCCCAGAATTCTAATTCCAAGTTGTGGGAAACGCAATCCCCTTTGACAAACCGCAATCAATCGGCTGGAATTGCGTTTCCCATAGTTCCGAATTCTGTGAATCGCAATTCCCTTTGAAAAGCCGCACTCGATGGGTTGGAACTGCGTTTCCCATAATTCGAATTCAGAAGTTCGGGAAACGCGCTTTCCCAGAATTCGAATTCCGAAATATAAGGAAACGCAGTTCCCGGTGAAAAACCGCACCCAATGGATTGGAATTGCGTTTCTCCTAATTCCGACTTATGTTCAACGCAATGTTTATTGAAAAAGCCGCACCCAATGGGCTGGAATTGCGCTTCCCAGAATTCGAATTCCGAATTTCGGGAATCGCAGTTTCCCAGAATTCGGATTTCGAATAATGGGAAACGGAGCTTCCTGGGAAATGCCGCACTCAATGGGCTGGAATTGCGTTTCCCATCATACCGAATTTTGAGAAACGCATTTTCCGTTGAAGAATCACATTAAATGGTCTGGGATTGCGTTTCCCATAATTCGAATCCCGAATTTCGGGAACCGCAGTTTTGTATAATTCGAATTCCGAATTATGGGAAACGCGACTTCCTTTTAAGAAACCGCACTCGATGAGTTTCCCTTCGCTCGGGGTCCGCATTTCGGGAAAATCGGTTTCCCAGAATTCGAATTCCGATGTATGGGAAACGCATGTTTTGAAAAGGTTGGAATTGCGTTCCCCACAATTCGACTTCAGAAGTTCGGGAAACGCGCTTTCCGAATTATGGGAAACGCGATTCCCCTGGACAGACCTCACTCAATGGTTTGGAATTGCGTTCCCCATAATTCCGAATAGTGGGAAACGCATTTTCCCAGGAGAAACTGCATTCAATGAGCTGGATTTGCGTTTCTCATATTTCGAATTTCGAAATTCGGGAAACGCGTTTTCCCAAAATTCGAATTCCAAATAATGGGAAACGCAATTCCTGTTGGACAACCGTATCCAAGGGGCCGGACATGCGTTTTCCTAATAGCGAACTATGGGAAACGCAAGTTCATTTGAAAAGCCGCATTCGATGGGTTGGAATCGCGTTTTCTATCATTCGACCCCCGCATTTCGGGAAACGCGCCTTCCCAGAATGCGAATTCTAAATTATGGGGAACGCAGTTTCCCTTTGAGAAACCGCACTCCATGGGCCGGAATTGCGTTTCCATACCTCCGAATTATGTGGCATGCAGTTTCTTTTGGACAACGGCACTCGATGGGCTGGAATTGCGTTTCCCTGACGTCGAATTCGGAATTTGGGGAATCGCAGTTTCCCAGAATTAAGATGCCGAGTTATGGGAAACGCATTTTCATTTGAAAACATTCCATTCCATGGGCAATTGCGCTTCCAATAATTCCGAATTATGAGAAATGCAATCTACTTGTGGAAACGACCTCAATGGGCTGGACTTGCGTTTCCCATAATTCTTTCCCATAGTTCGAATTCCGAATGATGGGAAACGCAATCTCCGTTGAAACACTGCACTCGCTGGGCTGGAATTGCGTTTCCCATCATTCCGAATTATGGGAGACGGAGTTTCTTTAGAACAAACTGCATTCAATGGGCTGGAATTGCGCTCCCATACATAACTCGGAATTCGAATTGTGTGAAAGGCGGCTTCCCTGAATTCGAATTCCGAATTATGGGAAGCACAATTTCTTCTTTTGAAAAGCTGCATTCAACGGGCATGACTTGCGTTTCCCATACTTCCGAATTATGGGAAGCGCAATGTCCTTTGAAGAGCGGCACTCGGATTGCTTGTCCCATAATTCGAATTCCGAATTTAGGGGAACGCTGTTTCCCCAGAGTGCTCATACAGAATAATGGGAAACGCAACTTCCATTGAAAAGCCACATTCGAGCTGGGATTCCGGTACCCATAACTCGAATTTCGAATTTCGGGAAACGCGGTTTCCCAGCATTCGAATTCAAATTTATGGGAAACGCAATTCCCCTTTCTGTAAAACAAGAAACACCGCATTCAATGGGCTGAGATTGCGTGTCCCATATTTTGACTTCCGAATGCCGAATAATGGGAAACGCAGTTTCCTTTGGACAACCGCATTCGGTGGGCTGGAATTGCGTTTCCCATGATTTCGGCTTGCGTGGGCACCGTAATTTCTTTTGAAACGCCGTTTTCGATGGTTTGGAATTGTGCTTCCCATAATTCGAATTCGGAAATTCGGGAGACGCGATTTCTCAGATTTTGAATTTTGAATTCTGGGGGAAGCATTTTTCTTTTCACAACCGCACTCAAAGGGCTGGGAGTATGTTCCCCACTACTCGAATTCAGAATTTCGGAAAACGCGTTTTCCCAGAATTCGAATTCCGAATTGTGGGACATGCAATTTCCATTGAAAATCCGCGCCCAATGGGTTGGCATTGCGTTTCCCACAATTCCGAATTCTGTGAGACGCAATTTTCTTTGAAAAACCGCATTCGATTGGCTGGAACTCCGTTTCTACATTTGAATTCCGAATTTCGGGAAACGCAGTTCCTTAGAACTCTGATTCCGAATTATGTGAAACGCAATTTCCCTTGACAAACCGCACTTAGCAGGCTAGAATTGCGCATCCCATAATTCCAAATTCTGGGGGACGCGACTTCAATTGAAAAGTCGCATGCGATGGGCTGGTATTGATTTTCCCATAATTCGATTAAGAATTTCGGGAGACGCGGTTTCCCAGAATTCGGCTTCAAACTGATGGGAAACGCAGTTCCCCTTGAAGGGCCGCATTCAATGGGCTGGAATTGCGTTTCCCATAATTTGAATTCCGAGTTTCGGGAAACGCAACTTCCTCAAATTCGAAGTATGAATTGTGGGAAACGCAATCTCTTTTGAAACGCCCCACTCGATGGGCAGGAATTGCGTTTCCCGTAATTCGAATTTCGAATTTCGAGAAGCGCTGTTCCCCAGAATTCGAACTAATTATGGGAAGCGCAATTCAGTCCTTGTGAAAACCGCACTCACTGGGCTGGAATTGCGCTTCACAGACTTCGAACCCCGAATTTCGGGAAACGCATCTTCGCAGAATTCGAAATCCGAATTATGGGAAGCGCTATTTCCTTTGGAAGAGGGCTGGGCTTGCGTTTCCCATAATTCCGAACTGTGAGAAACGCAATTTCCTTTGACAAACCGCACTCGGTGGGCTGGCATTGCGTTTCCCATAATTCAAGTCAGAAGTTCGGGAAACGCGGCTTCCCAGAATTCGAGTTCCGACTTATGGTAAACGCAAGTACTTTTGAAAGGCATCACCCGATGTGTTGGCATTGCGTTTCCCGTACTCGAATCCCGACTTTCGCGAAACGCGGTTCTCAGAATTCGAATTCCGAATTATGGGAAACGCAATTTCTTTTGAACAGCCGCTTTCAAAGGGTCGGAATTGCGTTTCCCATAATTCCGAATGGCGCGAAACTCAATTTCTTTTGAATAACGGCACTCCGTGGGCTGGAACTGCGTTTACCGTGACTCGAATTCCGAAATTCGGGAAACGTGGCTTCCCAGATCTCGAATTCCGAATTAAGGGAAACGCAATTTCCTTTCTGAATAACCGCACTCGATACGCCAGAATTGCGTTTCCTCTAATTCCGAGCTGTGGGAAACGCGCTATCCTTTTGAAAAGCAGAGGAGCATCCGATGGGCTGGAATTTCGTTTCCCACAGTTGTAAATCCGAATGTCGGGAAACGCGATTTCCCAGAATTCTCATTCCGAATTATGGGAAACACCATTTCCATTGAAAAACGCACTCGATGGGCTGGAACTGCGTTTCCCATATTTCCGAATCATTGGAAACGCAATTTCCTGTGACAAACGGCGCTCAATGGGTTGGAATTGCGTTTCCCAGAATTCGGAATTCGAATCTTGGGACGACTTCCAAATTGGAGACGCAACTCCTGTGGAAAAGCCGCGCTCGATGGGCCAGAATTGCGTTTCCCATAATTCCGAATTATGGGAAACGCAATTTCCATTGACAAACCGCATTCAACGGACTGGAAGTGCAATTCCCATAATTCGCAATTCGGATGATGGGAAACTGTGAATTCGGATTTCGAATAATGTGAAACGCAATTTCCCTTGAAGAGCCGCACCCAATGGGCCCGAATTGCGTTTCCCCTTATTCGGAATTCGAATTCTGGGAAGTTGCGTTTCCCGGAATTCGGAATTCGACTTGTGGGAAACGCAATTCCAGCTCATTGAGTACAGTTTTTCAAGGGAAGCTGCGTTTCCCATAATTTGATTTGAATTATAGGAAAACGCGTTTCCCGTGCAATGTGTCCTTGGGACAATCGTCCGGGATTGCATCTTCCATAGTCTTTATTTATGGGAAACGCAATTCTGGACGACTGCCGTTTGGGGGCCTTCTTGGGGGCCTCTTGCGCCCTTCTGGGGCCCGTCTTGGAGGTCTCTTGGGTGATCTTGGGCCGATCGTTGGGGCTCTTGGGCCGTCTCGGGCTGTCGGAAAGCCGAACAGAAGCAGATGCCACAATCTTGCAAAAACGCTCGGGTAATCAATGATTGTTGGCCTCTTCGGGCTTCCCTGGAAGCCCTCTTGGGAGCCTCTGGGCCTGTCTTGGAGACCTCTTGGTGGCCTCTTGGGCCGTTCTGGGCCATCTTAGAGCCATGTTGGGCCGTCTTGATGGCCTCCTGGCCCGTCTGACGCCGTCGGAAGCCGTCTTCGGGGCCTCTCTGGGCCGACTTGGGGCCCTCTTGAGCTGCTCCACGGCGCCGTCTTGAAGGCCATCTAGGGCGGTCTGGGGCAGTCTTGGGGCCCTTTGGGGGCCTTCTTGGAGGCCTCTTGCGCCGTTCTGGGGCCATTTTGGAGACCTCTTGGGCGATCTTGGGGCAATCTTGTGGGCTCTTGGGCAGTCTCGGGCCGTCGGGAGGCCGAAACATACCCAAATAGGATTTCAGCATTTTCGGGCCTTCCTGGAGGGCCTCTGATTGATCTCATGGGCCGTCTTGGAGGCCTCTTGGGCCGTCTTGGAGGCTTCTGGGGCAGCCGTCTTCGAGGCCATCTAGGACCATCTTGAGCGAACGTGGAGGCCATCTAGGCCGTCTTTGAGCCCATCTTGGGCGTCTTAGGGGAGGCGTTGCGGACGTTGTGCTCGTTTCTGGTCCTTTCCGGGTGGCCGGCGGGACGGGCCGAAGCCCCAGGGGGGAGTTCTTATGGGAAAAGAACCTACTCTGGCAAGACCACAGGGGGCTGCGGATCCAGTGGCCTTCGGCCCAGGAGGCCCATGACCAGGTAAGAGCCCTTGTGATGCGCAAACATTCACGAGGTCCTTGGAAATCCCGAGGAACTGTTTTTTCATCCTGAGTTGTTGTTGTAGGGACAGAAGACGGCGCAAACAAAAACCAGTCCCGATTAGTGTCAAGACGTTGCAGGCCTGGGATATCGTCTCCTCGTCCTCCTCCCGTGCGCACAGGGGGGGTAAGGTGGAGGGGTGAAGGCTTCTCAAAAGCACCCCTGCTCCTCAGAAGGCGCGGGCCTTGTCTATAGATGCAAGGCCCGCGCCTTCCGAGCAGCAGCCTCCTTCTGAGAAGCCTTCCCCCCTCCCCCCCTTCCCCTGCCCCCCGCGTGCACTCCGCCAGCAGGTGGCCTGCCTGGAGGCGGAGGGGCTGGCCCTCCGCGCCTCCCTCGCGGCCCAGCGATGGCGCCGCCCCTGCACGGTGCCCACGCGGAGGCTGCCCCCGGGATTGCCCGGCCCCGCCGCGTCGTGGAGGAGTCACGACGGGCTTTCCATCGGAGAGGAGCCAGAAGTCTTGATACAGTCGACCATTTTATTCCAAAACCTCCTCTCGAAAAGCTGGGCCAGCGTTTCTTGGCCAACTTGCCGGTAAGCTGGCTGAGTTTCTTGAGCGCGTTCGCGCCTCCAGCGTTGACACAATAACTTGGCCAGGTTTGTCTTAAGAAATGTTTGGGAAGCTGGCCCAGGTTTCGTAAGTGATGATTTTCTTGATCATATTTTTGTTTGTAGTGATACGTTCCAGGAGCTCCAACGTTCCCGAGCATTCCCAGATTTCCGAACGCTGCACGAGGGTTGCAGAGACGAGTGCCGCTGGATACTTTTGGGAAAATCGTGGAACGCATCCCGTGCCAGTCTTATCACGACATCAGTCTCGCCCTGATATTTCTGACACAGAGAGAGCGGCTTCCCAAGAGATCTGATTTCCCGAACACAGTGGTGCGGTCGTTTTGGGCCTATGTTCGGCTTCCGTGGGCCCTCTCAAGGCCCAGGGACCGTCAAGACACGACGGGGGATGAAAAGCAGGCCGTTGGGAAGGATCGGGACTTTCCAGGGACCCCGTGCTGAAAAACAGTACGTCGCATGTACGGGGGGATGACGTTCGATGCTTGAGGCGTTCTGACGTTTCCGTCGTGCTCGGCGGCTTCGCAGCCTCGGGGTGCCTTCCAGCAGCTGCGCCCTCGCCGAGTGGCTTCTGGGGCTCCCCGGGTCGTCCCGAACGGCCGCTGTGTCGAGACCTTTGGGGGCCGACGTTGTGACAAGATCATGGCGTCGGGGGTCCGCCGGCCCGCCCGGCCCAGCCGTCGGTCGGACGTCTCCGTCAGTCGGCACGGGCGGAACGGGTGCGGAGATCAGGGCCAGATGAGGCAACGGTGGTTGGCCTTCGAGGGGGGCCCTCGTCGGGGGGGGCCCTCGTCGCCAGGGCTGTGCGTTTAGACCCTGGGAGGGGTCTGGGGATCGGCATCGAGTTGCCGCTGTTCCAGTTCCCTCCGAGGAAGGACTGGGGGCGGAGACCGACGGCAGCTCCGATCCGTTGTGAGCAACCGTCGCCGGCGGTGTCGCCGCGGACCGTGCCCGACAGCGGCCGCTGCTGGATTCGGGCAGCATGTGTAGCTGGGTCTTGTGCCCACTTCTGCGTGCCCGCCTCGGGCGTGCATGGGAAAGAGATCGAGGGGGGGTGGTCGGGGGTCCGCTGGAGGGGGGCTACTCACGTGGCGTTCCCAGTTCGCAGGGCCTGATGGTACCATACTTTGTTGTCTCACGGGGTGGCAGTGCCGCTGGAAAGATATGTAAGAGCGCGCCCGTACGGAACTCAATACTAAAAGGGGGGACCCATCTTCAAGCTACCCCCCCCTTCCTTCGAAAAGGGGAGGGGGAGCTTCCGAAGCTGCCCCCCCTCCCTTCTGTAAGGGTTTCTAAGCTAGGGGGGGCCCTGGCTAAGGGGGGAGGGGCTTCGAAGCTATCCTCCCCTCCCTCCCTTGTCCGGAGCAGAAGGTGAGCCCAGGCTTCCCTTTCAAAGGGGGGGCTTCGGAAGCTCGGAAGCTACCCCCCCTCCCTCCTTCCTTTTGGTCTGGACACAGGGGGGGCGGCTTCAAGCTACGCCCCCCCCTCCTGTGCAAAGGGGGGGGGCTTCCGAAGCTACCTACCCCCCCTCCGTTCCAGGGCTCTGGCAAAATGGCGTAATCTCTGACAACAGGTGCGCACCGCAGCGCTAGAGAACGAATAGGAGAATAACGTCGGCCCCTGGTTCGTTTTCTTGTTTTCTTGTTTCCTCGGCCCCTGGTTCGTAGTCTCGTTTTCTCGGGCCCTGATTCTTTTCATCGTTTTCTAATTTTTCTCGGCCCCTGGTTCGTTTTCGTGTTTTCTCGTGTTGTCGGCTCCTGGGTCGCGGTCTCGTTTTCTCTGACCCTGGTTCGCGTTCACGTTTTCTCGTTTTCTCGGCGCCTGGGTCGTGGTCCAGTTTTCTCGGCCCCTGGTTCTTAGTCTCGTTTTCTCGGCACCTGGGTCGTGGTTTTGGTTTTTCGGACGCTGGTTAGTATTCTCGTTTTCTCGTTGTCTCGGCCCCCGGGTGGTGGTCTCTTTTTCTCTGACCCTGCTTCGTTTTCTCGTTTCTTCGTTTTCTCGGCTCCTGGGTCGTGGTATCGCTTTCTCGAACCAAGTGTTTTCTGGTAATCTCGGCCCCTGGGTCGTGGTTTCATCGGACCCTGGTCCGTTTTCTTGTTTACTCGGCCCTGGGTCGTGGGTCGTTTTCGCGTTTTCTCATTTCCTCGGCTCTTGGGTCGTGGTCTCGCTTTCTCGGCTCCTGGGTCGTGGTCTCGTTTTCTCGGTTCCGGTGTGCTTTTTCGTCTTCTCGTTTTCTCGGCCCCTGGTTCTTAGTCTCGTTTTCTCGGGCCTTGATTCCTTTTATCGTGTTCTCGTTTTCTCGGTTTCTGGGTCTTTCGATTTCGCGTTTTCTGTGCCCTTGGGTCGTGGTCTCGTTTGCTCGGGCTTTGGTTTGTTTTCTTGTTTTCTCGTGTTCTCGTGGTCTCGTTTTCTCGGACCCTGGCTCGTTGTTTGGCTTTCTTGTTTTCTCGGATTTTGTTGTTTTGTGTTGTTTTTGTTCGGGCCCTGATTCGTGATCTCGTTTTCTTGTTTTCTCGGACCCTGGGTCGTGGTGTCATTGGTCCTCGGACCCTTGTTAGGTTTTCCGTTTTCTGGTGTTCTCGGCCCTTGGGTCGTGGTCTCGTTTTCTCTGACCCTGGTTCGTTTCCTCCTTTTCTCGGCCCCTGGATCGTGGTACCGTTTTCTCGGACCCTGGTTCGGTTTCTCGTGTTCTCCGCTTCTCGGCCCCTGGATTGTGGTTTTCTTTTCTCTGACCCTGGTTCGTCTTCTCGTTTTCTCTGCCCCGCGCCCCGACCCTTGTATGTCGGCACGGCGCCCCCCCTCCACATCCCCCCCACCCGCCAGCCAGCGCGCCCCTCCGCCCCGACCCTTTATTTCGGCACGCCCCCCCCCCCCCCGCGCGAGACCCCTCCGCCCCGACTTCTTTCTTCCGGCACGGCGCACCCCTCCGCCCCGACCCCTTTATTTCGACACGGCCCGCCCCGCCCGCCCCCCCCATCCACCCACCCACCCACCCACCCACCCACACACCCATACCCACACCCACACCCACACCCACACCCACACCCACACCCACACCCACACCCACACCCACACACACACACACACACACACACACACACACACACACCAGCCAGCGCGCCCTCCGCCCCGACACATTTATTTCGGTACGGTAAGCTCTCTGCCCCGACCTCTTTATTCTGGCATGGCACACACACACACACACCGCGTTTCCCCCCGCCCGCCAGCCAGCGCGCCCCTCCGCCTCGACCCCTGTATTTCGGCACGGCACACCCCTCCGCCCCGACAACGTTATCTCGGCACGGCACACCCCCTCCGTATCACCCCGCCCACCAGCCAGCGCGCCCCCTCCGTTCCGACCTTTTTTATTCGGCACGGCCCCCCCCCTGCATCCCCCCACCTACTAGCCAGCGCGCCCCCCCGCCCCGACCCTTCTACGTCGGCACGCCCCCCCCTCCCCTTTGCGAGCCCCCTCCGCCCCGAACGTTTTATTTCGGCAAGGCGCGCCCCTCCGCCCCGGCGCCTTTACTTCGGCACGGCACACCCCATCCGCGCCCCCCCCACCCACCAGCCAGTGCGCCCCTCCGCCTCTTTATTTCGGCACGGCACACCCCTCCGCCCCGACCCTTTATTTCGGCACGGCGCACCCCTTCCGCATTCCCCCACCCACCAGCCAGCGCGCCCCCCCGCCCCGACCCGTTGATTTCGGCACGGCGCACCCCTCCGCCCCGACCCCTTTCTTTCGCCACGGCGCCCCCCCTCCGCATCCCCCCCACCCGCCAGCCAGCGCGCCCCCCGCCCCGACCCCTTTACTTCGGCACGTCCCCCCCCTTCCCCCCCGCATCCGCGCCCCCTCCGCCCCGCGACTCCTTTACTTCGGCGCGTTCCCCATTTCCTCTCCGCGCGCCCCGCGCGCCCACCCACTCACAAGCCAGCGCGCCCCTCCGCCCCGACCCCTTCATTTCGGCACGGCGCACCCCTCCGACCCGACTCCTTTATTTTGGCGTGGCACCGCCCTTTCCGCCCTCTCCGCGCGCGCCCCCTCCGCATCCCCCCCCCGCCCTTCAGCCATCGCGCCCCCTCCGCCCCGACCCCTTGGTTTTGGCGCGCCACCGCCCCCTCCTCCCTGACCCATTCATCTCGGCACGGCGCCGCCCCCCCACCCCGAGCGCCCCCTCCGCATCCCCCCATCCACCAGCCAACGCGCCCCCTCCGCCCCGACACCCCCATCCCGAGCACCCCCTCGATCACCCCATTCACCAACCAACGCGCCCCCTTCGCCTCCTCCCCCTGCCTTTCTGTGCAAGAGCCATGGCGCGCGTGCCACTTGTTTCGAATATGCGCGGCGCTCAGGCGAGAGCCACATTTTGAAAACGACCCGCCCTCAATCCGTGCAAGTCTTGCACGTGATTGAAAATAATACATGTGCGGCGCTAAGGTGAGAGCCACATTCTGAAAACCACCCGCCCTCCATTTGTGAAACTATGGCCACGTTTCATGTTTCAGCAACATAAGTGGTGAAGAAGTCTCAGGCATTACGCCTGGCCCGCGCTTTCGACCAGCTTCGGGGTGCGACAGGGAGGCGTTAATTATATGGGAACTAACTGAAGGGAAAAAGAGGAGGAGGAGGAGGAGGAGGAGGAGGAGGAGGAGGAGGAGGAGGGGGAGGAGAAAGAGGAAGAGGAGGAGGGGAGGAGGAGGTGGAGGAGGAGGAAGAGGAGGAGGAGGAGGAGGAGGAGGAGGAGGGGGGACAGAGGGGAGGAGGGAGCGAGGGGAGGAGGGAGGAGGAGGGGGAGAGAGGGGATCATGATCCCCTCCCTCCCCTTCTCCTCCCTGCCCTCCCATGTCCTTCCCTCTCCCTCTCCATCGTTTTCGTTTGCACTGCTTCAGGGGAGCGTCTGGAGCCAGAGATGCATCAAGGAAAAGTCAGCCAGTACAATTGGGCGACACATGCGTGTGAAAAGGTGCCACCTGTAGCCACGACGGCTCGGCATGGCCTGTCAGAGAGGAGCCTGCTCGCTCGAACTCACGAGTTGCAGTGGCCCCTGTTCGGCCATCTGTGGGGCCAGGAGAAGAGGACAGGAAAGGAGGGATTCGTGGTTGATGCCAGCCTCGTAAGCTTCCCTGATCAGCGGCCCACTCAGCCGCTCGACGCCAATGTCAACATGGTGTCGCCTGCGTCCTTGCCTGGCCATCTTACGCGCTCTGTCGGCATCCTGCCGGTCAAGCCCAGCTGCCACGTGCGGGGGGCATCCTCTGGAAAGTTCCCCGAAGAACATGACGGCAACGCTTGGATTCCCCCTCGACATGACCTGGGTCTCCTCCCCCTGGCTCCCCCCCCCCCCCCCCGCAGGCACGCTGAAGCGGGCGGCCAGGCCTGGCCGCCCCCGGCCGCCGCGGGGCGCGCGCCCTGCCCGCCGCCCGCCGGCCCCTCGGCGGGAGCGCCGCCGCGGGAGGCCCCAGCCGACCGGCCGGCCACGGGCCGCCGCTCTCGGCATCGCGGCAGGGCGCGCCAGGAGGGAAACGGGTAAGGAGAGCCACGGGCCAGGAAGTGTTTCGCTGTTGTTGGCGTCCCGGGGCCCAGGGATCTTCAGAAAGCGAATCAGGACGAGAAGCTCGTCCTGGGGGAAGGCCCCAGGGTCCAGGACCCGTTTCCCTTGGGACGCGTTCCCCCCATGTAAGCTCTGGACTCTAGGGTGTGGTTTGCGATCGGCGCCTTTGGGGCCTGGGGAGCACGACGCTGCCCTCGTCGGGCCTCCTCGAGGCGCGGCGGAGAGCTCCGTCAATGTGCATGCCCGCCCCCCAGGGTGTACCACAGGGTGCTGGTCGGAAACCACATCCTTTGCAACCACACCCTTCGGAGTCACCGGCTCGGGACCGCCGCACGGCGTGTTCAAAGACGAGTCCTTCGAGCGCCCAATGGCCAACGGCCAGCGTGGGACCACATGTGAGCAGAAGTGCTGTCGCATCAGGACCAGCATGGCGGAGGCAAGGGGCAGTGCATCATCTGCAGCGTCAGTACTTTCAGCGTTCGTGCGTACCCCTTCAGACATGCTCGCGTCGTAAACAAAATCACGACGGCAGGTTTTGGGGGGAATTTAGGACCTCTGGGGGCCCTCGCCTGGGGGCCCTCGTTGGGCCGGGCCCAGGGGCCGTCCGAAAACGGCTCGGGATGAAAAGTCTGGCATAGGGAACGCTGGAAAGATCAGGGCGTCGCATGTCTGAAGGGATGAAGTTTCGAGCTTCGAGGTTTGAGGTTTTCGGACGTGTTCGTGCTTTTCAGCCTCGGGGTGCCTTCCAGCAGCTGTGCCTCGCCGAGGCCGTTTTGGGGGTGCCTGGATCATCCCGAAGGGCCGCTGGAAAGCCGACTTATGATTTGAAAGCCAGAGGAGATAGGCTCAGGGGGAGATGCATCGACCCCCGGGGCCCGATAGCCCGGCATGTCTGGGATCTCGCAGATTCGCAATCGGGGGCCCATCGCCTATCTATCGGCGATGCATCGCCGATTCCAAGTCGATGTTTTCCCCCCTGAGCCGGTCCCCCATGACGCCCCCCCTGACCAGACACCTCGCGTCGTGAACAAAGAATCACATTCATCGGAAGGTTCTTGGAGCTTTCGGCTTCTGGAACCGCGCCAGCTTCTTTAACACATTCTCTCAGGACGAAGTGCCGGTCCCTGGGACGAGGTCCAGACCCCTGGGAATCCACGCCGCGAAGACGTCGGATGTCCGAGCACGTCGGGGCTCCAGGGTTCGAGGGCTCTCGGGAGTGTTCTGGAGGTCTTTCTGAAGTTTTTGGAGGTTCTCGGGGCCTGGGGTGATTTCCGTCGGCTGCGCCCTGTCGAGAGCGTTCCAGGGGTGCCTGCATTGTCCCAGTCGGTTGCCTGAGGCCCGAGTTGTGCCCGAAAAGCAACTGGGTGGGCGTAGCGGGGGTCACTGCTATCGGGAAGCAGCCAACCTCCGTTGCTCCCTGGCTGACCTGGGTTTGAGAGCCCCCTTTGATTTCAATCACACCCTAGGAATACTACTCTCCTCTCTCCCGCGAAGACGGCGATGAGGTGTCCTGGCCTCCTCCGCGCTCTGTGTTTTTGCACAGGATGCCGCCGAGTTGATAATTGATAACGGCACTCCCGCTTCAGCGTTGGCTCTACTTTCTCACGTTCTCAGCTCTTCCAAATCATGTTCCCGCTGTAGCGTTGACCTCATGTCATTGTTTCGGTTCTTCCAAGTCGTGCTCCTGCTGCAGCGTTGGTTTAATTTCCGCGCTAGCAGTCCTTCCCAATCGTGCTCCCACTGCAGCGCTGGACTTATTTCCGCGGTTTCGGTCCTTCGAAATCGAACTCACGTTGCAGCGTTGATTTCATTTTGCGCTTCCCGCTTTCCAAACCGTCCATTTGCATTTCCCGTCCTGTGTCGTTTCTGGTTTCCCTCTGACCATGTCTCTCGAAACGCGTCGCGTTCTCGACGCGATGCCATGCTACGCCGATCTTCACCATGCATCGCGCACTCTCCTGGGACCATTGCCTTGTTCGACATCCGATTGCGCGAGTAGGGAGAGATCTACGCAACAATAAGGGACGGGAAGGAGGGGTAGGACGTCAGATATGACGCTTGCGCACCTAGCTTGCCCTCCGCCCCTCTCTTCCCCTTGCCTCCCCCGTTCTCCCCCTCCCACTCTTCGGCTCCTCGGCTGTCTGCCTGGGCCCCACCTCGGGGCGGCCGATATCCTGCGGCGAGGTAAGAGTTCACGACGTTTGCCACATCTGTGTCCTACGCACCTCCAGGTGCATGACTTCCTGGACACTTGGAGCCTGGAGCTGGCCCCCCCCCTCCCCTCCCCTCCCCCTCGGTCGAAGTGGCCCTCGCTGGCCCGGTGTAGCGCGTCCCCGACAATGGGTACGATCGCAGTGAACACAGAGGTAGTGGCCCAGACCCCCCCTAATGGGATTTGGGCGTCGCAGTTTTTTCTTTCCGGGTGACCTCCCGTAGGTCCGCGCGGATCGATCCGGCTCGAGAGATGTGGCACAAAGGGGGGTTCGAGGGTTTTGGTAGTGACCCTTCACGATGTCGCACTTTTTTGGGCCCTGATCTCCAGGCTTGTCGTCGTGGAAGATATCCGACGACAGGTTGTCATACATCTTCGGTCTCTGGTCCAGGGGCCCCCGCAAGGATCCAGTGCCATCAAAACACAATTCGAAATACAAATTCGGTATTGCGAGATTGGTGGAAACTGTGATGTGCCCGTGCCGTGGAAAAACTTCACGACGTCGGAGGTCTGGGGTTCATCAGCGGCGAGCCCAGTTGGGAAGTGAGAAGAAGCGTGCCTTCTCAGAAGGCTCGGAAGCCCCGTGCTTTCTGAGAAGTTCTCTCCTTCCAGGAGGACGCAGAACACTTCTCAGAGGCCCGAGGGCTTCTGAGACATCTCGCCGCCTTTTGAGAGGGCCTTCTCCTTCTCACCTCCCCCCTCGCTTGCCGCCAAGATTAGGTGGGGTCGGGGGGGTGGGGGGCGACCGATAGTAGTCCCCGCCCAGTTCGACTGACTATGTGTCGCTGTTAGTGTTGCTGCGGGCGCTGTCCACTTGGCCGCTGCCCTTGGGTGGACAGCGTGTTGCAATTAAGCGTCATACCGATGCTTTCCGTACCCACTTCGGGCGTGCCGATCCGAAGGGACCGTTGGGTTTCTGTCGAGTGCCAGCGTTTTTCCTCGATCTCGGGTGTTGCTGAAGTCGTTTCCTGAGTACAGACGCGCTTGCGTCCGCCAGCGCTGCCGACAAAAAAGCTGCCAAAGACCCCCAAGGATGTCAAAGATCTTCAGGATGTCCTCCAGATGTCCAAGGGGCCCCCAGGATGTCCCCAGATGTCTGGCTCAAGATGCCTTTTCCAATCTGCCCAGGATTTCTCAGGAGGCCCCGGCGGCCTCCGGAGATCCTCCACCACGAAGCCCAGAGGGCCGCTGGGGCTCCCAAGTGGAGCGACACACCAGGAGCCAGGGACGCCGGCCGCAGCCCCGATGTCGGCGCCCAGGGGCCATGTTCGGAGGCCCACATGCGCCCAGGGCCAGGCCAAAACGTATTCCTACACACATCCACCGCCTGGGGCGTCGACGCCCCGGGCGGTGGATGTGTGTACACACTCCGGCCTCGAAGATTTCGGCCCCCAGGGGCGCCATTTCGAGCCCCGGGCCTGCACAGAGTGGGATCGGGGACGGGAGACTGCCTGCAGGGCAGTGGGGCGGGACCTCTTCTTGTGCGCGGGCTGAAAAATGCGCCCGCGTTGGATGTTTGCGAGAGCGGGTTTCGGAGGAGGAAAAAGTTACCCACACCGCTGCTCGTCCCAGAGATCCCCTGTTTGCACGGCTGGACTCTCCTCTCAATTGTTTGGTCAGAGCGCATTCTAGGAGAGGTCCGTAGAGTAGCGGTATCGGTATTTTTTTTCCCCCTTTCAAGCGGGGAGAAGGAAGAACAGGAGGAGGAGGAGGATGAGGAGGAGGAACAGGGGGAAGGGGGGGGAGGAGGAGGAGGAGGAGGAGGAGGAGGAAAGCCCCCGTGGCTCAGGCGTCTGCCTGAGGAGGGGCTATTCTCTTGCACTTGCGCGCCGCCATGGTCTCAGCAGCCAGTCTCCATTGGATCATCCAGGAGCTATGGCCGCCAAGGCGTTGTCAAACTGTGCAGCCACAGCGACAAGCTGATCATGCAGATCTGCCTGTTCCCCGTCTGGGAGCCGACTATGCGGAACAGCCTCATGATAAGTTTGCTCCACATGGTGCAGCTGGGCATGGACAACGTTATCATCGTGGACCACGGGCGCAAGAACTCCAAAGGCGAGTCCCACATCCGTCTTGTCGTGAAGCCCCTTCCGGTTTTCTTCGAGGGCTTCTCTGGTACGCCGCCGGCCATGCGTTCTGCGGTGGAGGAGGGCTCCGAACGCCAGACGCACGCCGAGTCCATCGGGCCAGTCCTGGCGCACGAGAAGGGGGAGTCGTCCAGCGAGCAGCTGTCTGTTTCAGGTGGCGCGGCTGGTTCGGGCTCTGTGGCGATGGAGAGCAAACCCTGTGCAAAGGCAGAGGCTGATATTGATGTGGTGAGGCCTCAGCGGCACGGAAAGGCCACTGCTCCTCAGCAGCGCAGCGAGAAACACAAATTCGCTCCAAGCATGGCCGCGCGCCTTATTGTTGGCCTCAAGGCTAGGCCGCTGCTAAATGGTCGCGAAGGCACCCTGAGCTTCTACGACGACGCTGCTGACCGCTGGGCTTTCAAGACTGGTGCGAAAGCCATTCGTGTCAAGGCATCGTGTCTTGAGCCTATCGGCTCCCGTGCGAAAAAGTCTCTCGACGTGGCGTTCCAAACGGCCGCCTGCGAGCATCAACGTTTGGACCCAGTTGCGAACGACCAGGTGTTCCAGCTGTTGTACGACCTTGCTGCTCGAGAAGGGCAGCCTGGGGTGGAGTTTTCTTCCTGCCTCTTTTCGCCGACAAGACAGCCTTCGACAAGATGCACTGCCACATGGCCGCAAGTGGCCGCCAGGAGTCCTGAGATCGCCTACCAGTGAGTGGCGCTTAGCTGCGTTCTTGGTGTGCCAAGTGCATCCATTCTTGTGCCCTCATACGCCATTCCTTGCTCCCCACGTCGTCCGTTGGGTTACGCTTCCCGTCATGGCTGCTTGCGCCCCCATGTATGTTGGGGTTGCGCTTCCCGTCAAGGGTTCTTGTTTAATGTGCTACTCGATCCTTCGGGCGAGTGCAGCGTTGCCAAGTTCTTGCGGGCGAGATTCGGCTGCGTCTCTCGTGCACGCGTGGACACCACAGACGTTCGTCTCCTAGGGCTGTAGGAAAAAGGAGGAGGAGGATGGGAGGGGAGGAGGGGGCCACGGTTACCACGCGTAAGTAAGAGTTGCCATTCGGCGGAGCGTTCTCTGGTGCGCGAGGTTCGTTGGCCGCGCTGGGCGCCATGCGCGAGCACGCAGGCCGCTGCGGTCGCGCCGCGCGCGACGACGATCGGGAGGCCGCGCACCAAAGGTCAGCCACGCGCAGGGGGGCGTGGGGGAAGTGAGAGGGGCTTCTTAGGAGAACCCTGCTTCTTTGGCGCGGACCTTCTGTAGAGATGCAGGGCCCGTGCCTTCGAACAAAGCAGCCTCCTTCTAAAAAGCCTTCCCCCCCTCCCCCTACCCCCCATGCGCGCGCCGCCAAACTGTCGCATCACACGCAGCGATCGGCAGGCCGCGCACCAAAGGTCACTCTTGCCTAGGGTCGCTTAAGCGTGTAGCCATTGGGGAGGCCTTCGCGCGCACTTCCATCATGTCTCCCAGGGGGGAGGGGGAAGAGCCCTCGTGCGCCGAGCCAGGGCCCCCCCGCCGCCACGACCGACGACGGGTCGAAAGGCAGGTCAGTCAGATTGGGCCTGGGGAGTTGCCTGGGGACGGGTGTTCAGCGGTGTTTGGCGCACCCTCCGTCCGCGGCGACGCCGACAGCGAATCCTGTTCAAAAGGGGCAGGAATTGCTGTCGGTCTTCGTACCCATCCTTTCTGGACCAATTTCGATCGTGCCAGCTTGTGCTCTGCATGTCGCGCTGCACGTCCTCTCCACGCCTTCGCGTGGCACGGAGTTGCCCTCGGAAGGGACGCGTGCCCTTTGGGACGTCCTCTGTAATCGGTCCCGACTGGGACCCCTCCCCGGCCCACCCGTCCTCCCTCCCCGTCCCGTCGCCCCCTTTTCCCCCCTCCCAGGAGGATGAGCAAGAGAGGAGAAAAAGAAAACTTATCAGGAGCAGGAGGAGCAGGAGCAGGAGGAGGAGGAGGAGGAGGTCTGGGAGAGGAATGGTGAGGAGCACAAGGAGGAGGAGGAGGAGGAGGAGGAGGAGGAGGAGGAGGAGGAGGTCTGGGAGAGGAAAAGTGAGGAGCACAAGGAGGAGGAGGAATCAAAGAGGAGGAATAGAGGAGGAATAGAGGAGGAAGCTTGAGATCCGACGTTGCAAAACAACATACAATATCGCGAAGCATCCTATCCGGAGCCCTAGACCCAGTCTTCCTCGGGCATAATGTTCGAACCGGATCGATATGTGATGGTCTTGGGCGAACACCGCCCTGCGCGATCAGCGATATCAGGGAGCACAAGAAGGGATGATTTTCTCAATCCCCAGAGCCCTTTTGCATCCCAGACCCACTGCTGATGGTCTCCGGGCTTGATAAGCGGGTCTGGGGGGCCGGCATCGATGAAAAACGCCGGTAGTGAAACAGACATATCCTCCGATATCTGGCCAGGAGGAGGATGAGGAGGATGAGGAGGAGGAGGAGGAGAACAATGAGGAGGAGTGCAATTTGAATTAACCTCTTGGTGGTTGGTGCGAAGGTGGTTACTGCTGTCTGCTTGCACAGATCGAAACTCGCCAAACGGGCCTAATCATAGTTTCGTGATGTACATGGTGATTCGCCTGTTATGCTGGCGGCTCACGCAGAACACCCATCCCGCTAACCACCACATGGGGTTCCAGAGTGGTGGCTTGGAGTTCCGGACTTCATGACCCTGACTGTGTTTGCACCTTGGCTCAGCCACCAGCGCCCCAGATTTCGGAAATCCGAGCGCAAGAAGTAGGAGGAGAAGGAGGAGAACCTGCAGGTCGCTACTGCATTGTCGAATAGTTGCTCAGGCCACGGTTCATAGAATGAGTTCGCCTGCTGCAGGTCAGTTCGTGCGGCGTTTTCGGTGTGCCAGGCGACCTTTCGATTCGCGATGCCGTTGTGGCACCCGTGGGTTATGCGCGAAGGATGATAAGGAGGAGGAGGATTTGGAGGAGGATTTGGAGGAGGAGGAGGAGAAGGAGGAGGAGGAGGAGGAGGAAGAGGAGGGAGAAGGAGGGAGAGGATTGCGAGGAGGGAGAGGAGGAGGAGGAGGAGGAGGAGGAGGGAGGAGGGAGGAGGAGGAGGAGGAGGAGGAGAGAGGAGGAGGAGGAGGAGGAGGAGGGGAGGAGGAGGAGGAGGGAGGAGGAGGAGGAGGAGGAGAGGAGGAGGAGGAGGAGGAGGAGGAGGAGGAGGAGGAGGCTCTGCAGGCGGCGCCGCGGTGCGGGCTCGGGGACGAGTGCACCGAGTGGCGCGCTGCGCGCGCAGCGGTGGCGCGCCTGCGCGCGGCCGTCCTGCATGCGCCCTGCACCGCGGCCGAGGCGCCGCTCGCCTTCGCGCCCGCGCGCGCGCGCGAGGCACGCGGGGCGCTGAGGAGAGGGCCCACCCTTGGCGGAGGAGGGACGAGCGACCGGACGAGCGGCTCGATATGGAAAGACGACCCGGTCGAGGGGGGGAGGAGGAAGAAGAGGAGGAGGGGAGAGGAAGGAGGACAACAAGAACAATTGAAGCCGGTGTTCTCACCGGGATCGCGGTAAGGCGTGTCCAAAGACGAGTCTCTCGAGCGCCCAATGGCCAATGGCCAGCGCGGAGAAATACGTCGACAGAAGTGAAATGCTGTCGCATTAGGGCCGGCATGCCGGAGGCAATGGGCAGTGCATAATTGACATCGTCAATGTTTTCAGCACATACGCACATCATTCTTGACCTGCTCGCGTCGTGACAACAAAAATCAGGGGCATGTTTTCTGCAATTTTGGGACTCTGGGGGCCTGCGCCGGGCCGAGCCCCAGTGCCGTCCAAAAACAAGGCTCGGGATGAAAAGCTTGCAATGGGGAACGGTGGGGACTTCTGGGGGCCCCGCTGTGGAAAAATCAGGGCGTCGCATGTCTGAAGGGATGAAAGTTTTCGGTTCGGGGTTTGAGGTTTTCGGACGTCGTCCTAGGTTCTCGGCGGTTTTCCAGCCTCGAGGTGCCTTCCAGAAGCTGTGCCTCGCCGAGGGCGCTCTGGGGGTGCCGAGAGCGTCCCGAACGGTCGCCGCGGAGCCGAGCTTTAACCCCGAAGAACCCAGGAGGCGGGCGCGATCGAGTTAAGACAACGGTACAGTCAAGACGCTGAAAAAAAAAACGTTTTGGGTTTGGAAGGGGCTCGCTGTTCCTTAGGTCGATCCGTGGTTGTTCCTCTAGACTCTAGCCCTCCTCGTGCACCCAGGCGCGGTTGACGCCAGAAAAGGGGCTTCGGTTTTTCCTTGCCGTTTCTCGTGTAAGCAGCCCTTCTGCAGTTGGCCTTCGGCGGGGGGGGGTCCCTCGTCGCCACGGCCTGGCGCAGCTCGGAAAACTACTGCGTTTGGACCCGGGAGGGGTCCTTGGACCGATTTCGATGTGGCATTGTCCCCGCTCGCCCTCAGTGCACACGTGCTTGCGCCGTGTGAGAAATGCGACGAACAATTGCTAGCTGTTTTCGGTCTTCCTGGGCCCTCGCTGGTGCCCAGAGCCGTCAGAAAATTCTGGGGTGTTAAGCCAGCCCTCGAGATCGAGTCGGAATCTCCAAGGGCCCAATCTTGAATAACAGCACGACATCGCATGTCTGATGAATCACGATTCACTGTCGCTGGCCTGGACAAACAAATTCAAGGAGGAGGTCAGACACCAAGGGGCCCGCCCCCGGAATCAGCTTCAAAGGGGGATCAGGAACCAGGGGACACGTTTCTCCCCCCATGGGAAGAACCGACGGAGTCCCGCCCCCCCCCCTGGGAACATCAATGCGGGGAGTAGGCACATGATCTGGCACCCTCTCTCTGTCTGTCTGTGTTGCTTGTACTTGCAGTCTTGCTTTGCACACGTATGTATGTGTCTTGCTTGACCATTGCTGATTTGGCTCGAAGCCTGTATGACTGACATTCAAAAGCTGATAGTGCAGAGCTTCGCGTTTGTCCGCCCGACCCCCGCGGGCTGCAGCAACACCATGTGTTCGCGGCTGCAACTAGCGGACCAGACAATCCACGGACCTACGGGAATCGGACGGACGACAGGGGGTTCGAAGTGTGACACTGACGGCAGAAGCTCATGTCCGAACGACCCCCGAGGCAAGACCTCGATTCGATAGCTAGTCGTGTGGCCGAGCTGCTGAGGGGCGACCAGAGCAACCGACCAGCATTCGCAGCAGTTGCAGCAGCAGCAGCAGTCTGCACCACACCTGCGGGATCAGAAAGCAGAACCTCCAGCGCCATCCTACACTTGGCACGAGCACGGGCAAGACCAGTTGTGGAATGATGATCCGTGGGCCTCAACGTGGACAGCGGGTGGCTGGACGGAATAGGTCTGGACCGGGCAGCCGCACGACACAGAGGATATCTGGACGTTAGAGGCGCGCGCGCGACCAGGTTCCAGCCCTAGCATGAGATGATGGCAGCATGCCACCGTCGACGAGGGCACTGTGTCACGACAAGGATGCAGCGCACGCCGACGTCCCGCCGCGGAGCCGATGGCAAGGCAGTTCATTGCAACCTGGCGGTGGGCATCCAGGAGCGGAGGCTGGAACGAGAAGCAAAACATTATACCATCAACGTCATGGCCAGGCTGGGACAAATTCATATTGTGGAAGCGATGTGTGACGAGGTGGCGGCGCAACTTTTGGCTTTCAGAGACTTAGTGCACGGACCGGCTGGTGGAAGAGCTGCCTGGACCTGCGAGCCAAACTACACTACACTCCTGGGCAGGAACTCGCGGTGGACAGGATTGTGCACCACTTCGGACAGGAAGCTGGAGAGCGAGAGGACGATGAGGTCTCCAGAGCAGGCAACGAGGCCACCAGAGACATCGAGCGGAAGAAGGGAAAATATTTGCCGGCGCTGGTGATGCGCCCGCGCAGGCAGCTCGAGCGGGCCAAGGAGATCGGCATGGAGTTCCCGCCCAAGGTTCAGGGGGTACGGTGCTCCTCCTGGGTGCCCGTTTGTCCGCGCAGGGCAAGCAGAGCGTCCGGAGTCTCACTCGAGGTTCGCCCCTGGGACCAGATATCATGCGGGCTCTACCGACATGGGCGGCCTCGCCTGGCGTGGCGACCGCAGGTCGCACGTCAACCTCCCCGAGACAAGCAGCGCCAAGTCCAGCAACGACTCTGGCGACGACGAGGTCGGACCACCAGAGCTGACATGGCCTCGGTGGGCAGACGAGCTGGACTCCGACGACGAGCTCGGCATTCTCGTGGAGCTCAGCGGGCGCGACCTGAGCGATGACGAGGCGAACGAGACGCTGGCTCAGATGGGTAAGGGCTGCCAGAAGGCCTGGAAGGAGAACGAGGACCTGAGGGGCGCCGCCCAGAAGGATCATGGCCACTGGGGGCGCCGACGCCGACTCACCCCAGCACAGCTCAAGCTAGTCACGAAGCGTGGCATCTGCGGAGAGACGGGCCACTGGCGCGCGGAGTGCAAGATCCCGTCCAAACCCAAAGGGTCTCGTCAGCGAGGAGATAGGGACGACTCAGGAACTGGCGGCGCGGCATTTTCGAGAGCAGCGCGTTCACGCGCGCGGCGCAGGACGAGCACCCCTACGACAGCTCATGGATCGCACTGCTCGGCGAGGGGGTTCTGAGGGAGCTTCGCGGCCAATGCCTCGAGAGGGCCGACGAGGGCGCCAACTTCCAGAGGAACTTCACCTTCGTCATGATCGAGGATGGTTGCGTGATCGTGGACAGCGGGGCCCCCCAGGCGATCGTGGGCAAGGAAGGAGTCCCTGGGCCGTCTCGCCAAGGACCTCAAGTCTGGAGGGCTCTCGCCCGCGTGGATCGACGAGCCTGCCAGGCCCCATCGGCGCGGTGATGGCCCCAGTTGCGATGGGGGCCAAGTCTTGGGCGGTCGAGTTTGTCGTGAAAGAGGAGAGCCCCCCACCGCTACTGCCCCGTGAGTTCCTTGAAAACTTTGGCGCCATGTTGGATTGCTCGCGCGATCAGCTCACTCTCCAGAAGATCGGGCGCGCAGAGCCCATGGAGAAGTCCGGCAGGAGATGCAGGGCGATAAAGCCGAATGACTGGAGGGTCGCTTTTTCATGGTTGTCTGTTTTCTGCTTCCTCCCCCCCCCCAGGATCGAGTTGTTCTCTTTGTTTGCGGGGCTGTTTTCTTTCCGTTTTGGGATTGTCGCCTCGCCGTTGTCGGACGTCTTGCGATCGGCTGTCGATGTGAAAAAGAAAAAACCCAACTGCCGTTTCGTTGCCGTTCTCGTCGCAGCGCGGCAGCGCAGGTCCAGACCCGCGCAGGTTGTGTTTTGGTTTGGCCACCCTTTTTGTTTTTGTTCTGGGATGCAGTGCATCGTTCCCCGGCAGGTGTCCTTCTGTTGTTTTGCATCAAAGTTTTTTTTTGTTCCGCCCTGGTCGGCCGCGACGCCGCGCGCTGCAAGGCACCCCCCCCCCCCTTGTTTTTTTTCCAAAGAAAAAAACAAGTCTGAGAGCCAGTTCGAGCCACCAGAACAACTGGCACACAACTGCAAGGCGCTTTGGGAGCAGCGAGAAGAGTTCCAGCGGTTGGTCCCCGCACACATCGTCATCTCCATGATCTCCCCCCTTCTCCCTGCGCTCATTCTTCCGTTCCCCGCGGCCTCTCTTCAGCAGATGCGTTGCTCGCGAAACTTCTCCATCGCATTGCCTTGGTGTGTCCAGAGCGCCGGCCGACGGTGATCAGGCGTGCCAAGATCGAGGGCGAAGAACGCTCCGCCGCAGGACCCCCGGCGGTCCTTCTGGCTTCAGTGGGCGCCTACTTCGACGGAGCCAGGGCCAAAGTTTCGAGACTCATCAAGGACATGCGGCTCTTCGACACCCAGAACTGCAAGATGCGACTGCTTGAGGGCTCGAGGCTGCTGGTGGAGACGCAGACCAGAGCGTGGGCGAAAAGCTCACGCGGCTAACTTGGGAAACCGCAGAATGTGTTCAAATTTGGCTTTGTTGAAAATAGTGGCACTTAGCGGCGCTCGGCGACGCGAGCGCTCGCGGCCCCGACGGGGCCGGCGGTCTCGCTCGCGCGCCCGCGGTTTCGCAGAGGTCGGCGACCCCGAGCTCTGATTCACGCCCCCGTGGCCCAGATGGGGCCACGCGGCCACTGAGAGACACTGAGTGGCCATTCTCGGAACCACCAACGTCCACTGCGCCATTGATCATTTTCGGAACCACTAACGGCCGCTAAATGGCGCTACATGGTAGAGCTCGGGCCACTCTGCGCCGCGAAATGGCATTTCCATTATCGGGGCCACTAGCGGCCACTAAGTGCCACTAAATAGTAATTATCGGAGCCACTCGCGGCCGCGAAGTGCCGCGGCGTGGTATATCTCGGAGCCGGC